GTTAGTAGAATTTGTATACAACAACAGCTATCATTCATCAATTCGGATGGCTCCTTACGAGGCACTTTATGGCCGCAAGTGTCGTTCACTTCTTTATTGGGATGATGTTGGAGAAAAGCAAGTACTTGGCCCGAAGATGATCGAAGAAACTGTTGAACAAGTAGCCTGGATTCGAGAAAGGCTCAAGACTGCTCAAAGTCGGCAAAAATCTTCAGCTGACAAGCGTAGACGAGATATGTAATTTGAGGTGGGAGATAAAGTTTTCTTAAAAGTTTGACCCATGAGAGGGGTTATTCGTTTTGGGAGGAAAGGAAAGTTGCATCCTCGCTATATTTGTCCGTTCGAAGTTCTTGAACGAGTAGGAGAAGTATCTTATCGATTAGCTTTACCTCCTGAGTTGGCAAGCGTGCATACTTTTTTTCATGTATCGATGTTACGTGCATATGTGTGCGATCCAGACCATGTACTTCAGCATAATGAGATACAAATTCAACCAGATTTGACTTACGAGGAGCGGCCTATAGCAGTATTGGACCGAAAGGTTCAAAGGCTTAGGAAAAGAGATGTTCCCCTCGTTCGTATCAAATGGAATCGCCATGGAGATTCAGATGCCACTTGGGAGCAAGAAGCTGATATTAGAGCTCGATTTCTAGATTTCGAGTTTTGATGTCAGGTATGTTTTTAGTTTCAGTATTCAGTTTCAGTATTTCCGAGGACGAAAATAGTTTTAAGGGGAGTAGAATGTAATATCCCATTCAGTTATTAGTAATAAGTATCAGTTTATTTCCAAGATTGAGCTATTTTGAGGCTTAAAAAGTTAAAATTTTAAAGTTTTTAAGTCACACGGGTCATGTGGGTAGCCACACTGGTCGTGTGAAGTCACACTGGTCGTGTGACAAGCCACACGGGTCGTGTGGCTCAAGGCACTATTCAAGTTTAGCTTCGTTTTTTTCACACGGGTCGTGTGACATAAGTGAGACGGGTCGTGTGAGTTCACACGGGTCGTGTGACTAAAGTGACACGGGTCGTGTGGCGTCACACGGGTCGTGTGACTAGTGACACTGGTCGTGTGACCGACAAAATTTCAGATTTTTATGATTCGAGTTTGATGCCAACTAAAGTGTATTTTGAGCAATTAAATATGCTTAGCTAAAAATTTGAAATGTTTGGTAAGGACTTGTTTAAGTGATTAATTTTTACAAGTTTAAATTGTTTAATTTGTTAATTTCTTCACTCCAAATATTTTATTCCAAAGTTTTGATTATAAATAGAGGCTTCAAAAATCAGATTTTTACACCAAAGTAAAGTATCAAAGTTATATTGAGAGTTTAAGTGAGGAGAAGTATTTTGGAGTAAAGGATTTTCAAGATATTCAAGTTCATATTCAAGTTCATATCAAGTCTTTCAAATTTTAAGTCCTTGAAGGAGGTAATTCATGCTTGTATTTGATAATTGAATCATGTTATTAGCAAAGCATGATTAGTATAAGTGATTCTTGTTAGAATTTAAGTATTTGATATCATCATGAGTTATAAGTTGAGTAATGATTTAGTTTATGTTGGCATAATAGTATCCATTTCATGTTATTGATATGAGTTATCATGATAAGAAGTTGATAAAGTTATAAGTTGATAGCTTAATATGATGTTTTATTCATGTTAAGTGTAAGAGTATGAGTTTCACATTTGATGATGAGTAAATTGATAAGTTTAGCATCAAAATGTTGATAAGCATGCAATTTCATAAATTGTGCAAGTTTAGCTTTAACATGTTGAGTAAACATGTTAATATCATAATTTAATGTTATGATTGAGTTATAAGGATGAACAAGTTTAATTGTTATAAATCATGAGTTAAGTTTGATGTTGGTAAGTTGAATATGTTGAGTTATGTATGTGAGTTTGAGTTATTTCACTTACAAGTTTTGTAAGCCAACATCTAAGTAATAAGGCATGGTTTATATGAGTTGAGTTTTATCTTTGGAGGAAGTTCATCAAGAGTTTGATTTATTCAATGTATTATGATATTTGAGCTATGGTTTGTATATTAATCGGATAAGTTATCAGTTAAAGATTATTCGAGCATAGTACTTAGTATTCTTGCTTATATTTTTTATGTAGCGTGAGAAGTTCGGCTACAAGAACAACACTTTCAATTTTCAAAACAGTTTTCAAGACGAAAGGTGGGAACCCAGACTGGGTAGTACATTGAGTATAATAGCTAGATCATGTTCAAAGGTATGTATATGAGTTAAAGTTATGCTTGGGGTGGAGGCGCAGTAGCCTTAATAAACCATCCTAAGTAAGTTAAAGACTCGCCCAGTGCAGATTGGGTTTTGGGCAGGCAGCCCCCAATATGTGATCACGTGAGAACCGTCAGTACGGTAGTTGCAAAGTTCAGTTAAAGTTACCGGACCAATGTCCGGGAGAAGCTTATATATACCTGTGATCATGATATTGATATTATTATTAATGTTTACTTTAGTATGAGTTTTTACGGAGTACAGTTGATTAGTACTCACGTCCCACTATTATCATTTTCAGGTAACATGGTCGGGCCGAGGGTGTGAGTCAAGCTGTTGTGGTGTCGGTTGTGCTTTCAGTTGTGCATTCAGTTATGCATTCAGTTGTGAGTTTATTAAAGTTTGATTGTGAAATTCAATAAGGCATCGGTTGTAAATGCCACGCTTAAAGACTTCCGCTATGTATATTAAATTTGAACTTGTGTGATTTGAAGTTTGATAATTAAGTAAATTTTCTGTTTATTATTATAAATGAGTTAGTTTCACACTTGTTTAAAATGTTAAATCTGTTTTATCGAGTTTAAGAAAACAAATTTTCAAAGAAGTTAAGTTTTAGTAGCATTCCGAGTTAAGAATATTTTGAAAAAGTTATAAGTATGTTTCGAAATAAGTTGCGAAAATTTTACTCTGATGAGCGGGGTGTTACATCTTTCATCCTTTCCTGGACCAGTTCGTCATTGTGTTCATCGACGACATTCTGGTCTATTCCCGAGA